GGCACCCCAACTGGGTACCTCCATTGAAGAATGCTCCTAGTGCTTACAGAGGGCTCCGAGCGCTCCGCCAGACACCACAACCACCGTAGACCCCACGAACCGCCGCAGCTTGGTTGGGGTCTCGCCATTTCCTGCCCACCCTGGACCTACGACAAGGCTCCATGTTCCAGTGGGTGAACCTCTCCTCCAAGAGAGTGAAGCAGGAACAAGCTCTCACAAGAGCTCAGTGATTATAGCAAGGGAATATGCAGAGCATAGCAATCCCTTGTAGCAGATTCCCCCAATAAGAGACAGGACTCAGATTGAGGGTAAGGTAGAACTGGTTTACTGGGGCTAACTGCCCGGCTTTTATGCAGGTCTCCCACCTGGTGGACACTCCCCTAGGGGACCAGATGGGAAACTGGGAAACATATTGGCTCTTAGCCAATCACAGACATACACCTTTACACACTCCCACAATGCATTACAATCCCTCTTCTCTGTCCTGGAGATAATTGGGAAGTAATCCAATTATCTCCAAGGACAGAGGCAAAACTCCATTAACCGCATGGCAGTAAAAATACAGTAAAAGACATAAAATTACATACAGTTACATTTATTACCTAAAACATATACATTCTACATATCCCCAGATAGCTTAGATCTGAGTGCACATTACTACTGAATGGCGCTCAGATCACATACATACAGTTCAATCGCCATGGAGCCAAAGTCTTTCCCATAGTCTTTAGTTACACGAATAGGCTCCATGGCTTAGCTATCTGGGTGATGCTGTTCCTCCGGTTAAACTACCGAATGAACAGTCATTCGGTTCTGCTACTGAATGGGAAGGTAAGGAGGCTGGCGGCTCAGCGGTGTTCGCGCCAATACGTGTCCGTTTTCAGTTCCATAGTTTGGGTGCTGAACACCGCTGGCCGTTCGGGAGGTAAAATGGCCGCTGCCACGTGTTTGGCAGATGAACAAAGGCCACCCAGCGTTCATCAATTAAGCTGCGGTTAACCGCAGCTTCTGGGCGGTCAATTGACGGCACACTCCAGCTCCCAGGCGGTCCATCGTTCAGTAGTTTGTTCGGTAGATTGAATCTACCGAACACCCCGGCAGAAAGGTACGAATAAACCTTTCAGTAGGAGAAATAACAGGGCTGAACTGCAGGGCCATAGTCTAAAGGGAGCAGGCGAGCAACCAGGCTTCTCCAGTGTACAGTGGCGTGGTTGGTTCCGCCACAGGCCTGGTCGACCCCTGTGACCATGGTAATTATTCCACTGACTATGCTATTGGATACTGCATGCTATGAGAGAGGGAGAGACAGGAAGCTGTACACATGCACAATAACCAGCAAGCAGGGAGTCTTTTTAAAATAAAGGAGATAAGACAGAGGAGGCAGGCTTAAAATGAAGATTGCTGTAAAACATTTTATTTTTTAGCAAAAACTACTGCATTTCCGTAAAAGGTCAGGTCAGCACATCACAACTTTGCATAACTGAGGACCCAGCACCCACTGACCGCCCTGAGAGTGGCTTAGAAACGGAAGAATTCATATAAATCTCTGCAGCTCTAAAAATGCTCATCAAAGCTGTCAATCAGGCAGCTGAAAGTTCAGATACCCACTGCTGAACACCAGTCTTATCTAAAAAAAATATCTAAACCATTTATGCTTTTATTTCAGCAACTCTGGCTTAAAATTTGAAATTCCCTTTAAATTCACTTAGAATTCTCACTATAGTGAATAACTCTGATTATAGAAAAAAAAAAATTAAAAGGTAATTTCCCCTTATAGTTTCCATTTAAAGAGTACCTATAATAACACTTTCCACTTTGCAGAAATTAATTAATTTATACATTGTGCAAATTGCTAGCGAATGTATAGATTTCTCTATAAAACACTCACCCTCCCTCCTTTCAAATACACTATCAGTATAGACTCTGTCGATGTCTGTCTGCATGAGAACATGCCTACGAGTTGTTCTCTTTGACTAGCTTCAAGGTGTTTTAGTGCACATGCATTCCGCACGGTTCATCGGACTAATCTCTATGTTGGATGAAGACCTGACAAATTTTGCCAGTGAAAAGCGAGTCTACCAGCACATTTTATTAACTTCGTCCAGCATTTTACATTCAGAAGATCCAGCAATGCCAAGATGCACTCCAATGATTCACCAAAGAAGCAAAATGATTATTAGACTGGCCAGAGCATCCAGCTCTCCATTCAATGGGTTGATGTGCTGGCAATGAAGCCACCACTTCAGCGACATCATGGCAGATATGGGGAAGACATGGTAGGCTTCCCAAACGAAGGCAATGCAAAGAACCCAGGATCTCACCCATAAAGGAGGCCTAATAGGGTCAATGGAGTAGTTATGAGTAGGTGAGCATCTTAGAACTTGATGAAGCTCCATAGAAGGTAGTGAATAAAATGCAAGTTTTGAAAATGAAGATAGCAAAAGGAACAAGCTTATAGAAAGTTCACTTTAAGTGTATTTTGTGCTGACATCAATGGTCCATATGCTTATTGTATTTGGCTTGATATGTTTGTGTAGATAACTCAATGAAGAACATGTAAATAAACCATAAATTGTCTGGAACCAGAAAGGAATGGTGTTAGTTTGTTTCAGGATTTGATTCTCATAGAGTATAACAAAGGGATTTTGCAAGCCTGACACGGAGACAGTCAGACTATTTTTTCTCAGGGTGTTTGTATTGTTTGGAATTGATACAGTCTCATGATACTTCAGACTGTTGGGATTTAATATCACATTTGGAACAAAGTTAAAAGAAGTGATCTTTTATTTTTCTTTCTCTGCAGAGTGGGAGTTATACATCATTTAATTTTTTTTCATTGTTCTCCTGTGCATGGCTCTCTGTCACATTTTTAAGCTATGGTGTTTATTCCAGGAATACCCATTACTCTGGGTATGAGCAGTGATGCCAGATACACGCTCTGTTTTCATTATGTGGATAACTAACATAGCAACAGAGATTGTGCTGACGCATGCAAAGCAATTCATTTGCACAGTTTACCTATTTTAAAACATCATACCTGTGGGATTTTTTGTTTTATTTTCACTTATATGTTTTTTTGGTAGTGTATTACAACTGTGCTTGTCTTTGCTACTTCATCTGGGTAGCTGTTCTAGGAATTTACTACCCTATCATAAAAAGCACTACTTTTCTAAATTATGGAATTACTCAGTCCCAGTCACTATCTAGAGTTCATTTAAATTCTTGCTGTAAAAATCCACAGGCCAAGATTTAAAGGGTTGTTACTCCAAGTACCATGATCACTTCAGGGATCTGACGTGATCATGGTGCCTTGGAGTCTGATTATGCTGCATTTAACTATGAAACGCTGCGCATACAAAGTTTAACTCCTCTGCTGCCTCAAGTTTTACTTCACCTCTCACAGTGTTCTTTGGGTGTCATTAGCTAGCCTGGAACTAGAGTTCTAGACAAGCTAATGTCCATTCTGTGCAAATGTAATAGCATTAAAAGGGAAACTATAGTGCCAGGAAAACAACCTAGTTTTCCTGGCACTATAGATCCTCCTCTGTCAAGCTCCCTCTCCCCCCCCTCCTCATGGTGAAGAATGGTTAATAACCTCTTCTGTCACTCACCTGAATTCAGGGTTGATGTCCCTTGGTGCTGGGTTGGGTCGGGTCCGACCACGCTCCTCCCTAGCCAACATCAGCCGATGTGGGAGACCTAATGTGCATGTTTGGCAATGGCTATGCTCGCATTAGGATTTATTCAGTGACGCTGGAAGTCCTCATGCATTTAGGTGACCATAAGTTACCTTTGAGCCCAGAAGTCTCTCTAGTGGCTGTCTTGTAGACAGCCACTAAAGGAGGAGTTAACCCCAGCAGCCTCATCTTCCTGTCCGCTCGCACCTCCCATGCCTCTCTCCTTTGTCAGTCCCTACATTGGCTTCCTGTAAGATATATGACTTATTTAAGATCCTGATACTTGCTTACAAATTTCTACACAATGCTGCTCCGACCTACTTATCCTCACTAATACACAAATATGTCCCTTCTAGGCCCCTATGCTCTGCTGGAGACCTACGTCTAACCTCTGTCTGTACTCTTACCTCTGATGCTTGCCTTAAAGACTTGTCTAGGGCTGCACTGTTCCTATGGAACGCCCTTCCCCTCTCTGTTAGACTTTCACCCAATCTCCACTCCTTCAATAAAATCTCTGAAAACTTACTTCTGTAGGAAAGAATATCAATTAAACTGTGAACAGCTTTCTCTCCCTGCACCCAGATTCCTCTCTTGAAACTGTCATCAAAACAAAACACTAAGCCCTCAATGAATACTATCCTAGAAACCTACTTTCTACCCTACCCTTACCTTTTGTGTCACATTACCCCACTCCCTCTAGCATGTAAGCTCATTGAGCAGGGCCCTCAATCTTTCTGTTCCTGTGCGTCAAACTTTTCTGGTTACAAATATGTGTCTGTTAGTCCACCCATTGTACAGCGCTACTGAACTTTTTGGCACTTTATTAATAATAATAATAATAATAATATAACTACAAAGGGTGAGGGAGCCCCACTAAATTGCTATTTAACAGTTGAATGATGTAATATGCATTGAGATCCTCTTAATTTAGTTTCATATATGAAAAGTAATTATGGAAGTACTGTCCATCCACATTATACCAATTATTAAATGACTAGATCTATTATACATAAACCCATCTCTGGGTATTGAATATAAGTTTTGTCTTAGATGTGACTGAGAGAACTGCTATTCCGTCATTAGAGTTGAAAGGAAACTATAGGTTAGGAATACAGAATTGTATACATTTTACTTCAGCATCGCTGTTGTAATGCATCAAGAAAGTTTCAGTGGGACACTTGGAGATTTGGACTTGTTGCAAACATCTACTCAATGTAATTGTAAAGGTCTTGGACATCACTAATATATTGAATCCGTTAGAGATGTCTATGTTTTTGTTTGTTTTATTTAATTTTTGTTCACCTCTATCTGTATATCTTTTCAGTAGGAGCAGAGGACTCCGGACTCATCTAAGCTGCCTCTCACAGAAGTCTGATTCACTAAGTGATTTCTCAGCTTTGCAATGTGATGGTAAACAGAGCCAGGCTTTGAAGTAAGTAAACCTTGGTCACTTATGAGTCATGATTTCTGCCATTATTATTGTATAGGGTCCAGAACACAGATACACTAATATTAGTTCCCCATCTGTTCTAGGTTTTATCCCTCTCTAGTTTTATACATCAAAATTGGAATTACTTTTTATAAATAAACCCAACAACATTATCAGAAGTGTATTAATGCATCAGTTGGCTCATTGATACTAAAACATACATCTATAGCATATTGTACTTTTAAAGGAAATCGGTTGCTGGAGCACACAATTGCTAGTATGTAGGTTGTGCTGTACTAATAGCCTTTAGTTAGAACGCTCACAGTGGGTTTCCTTTGATTTTATTTAATATAACATAACTCTTCCCTTACTACTGCACTGATTCTTTAATGAAAAGATGTCCTAGTTAGGGCTAGTTTCAAATGCTGTTGGTAACTATTATTGACAATGTCTTTCTAGCTACAGTAGCTCTCTGTAACAATATTCATTGGCAGTTGTTTCCAAACTGGAAAATCACCAAATCTTATTTGGATCCTATATCAGGGCCCAGCCCTAGGGCTATGAAATGTCCAGAAAAAGAGACCAAACTAAATAAAAATTAAACGAACCCTGCGCTTCCACTAGTCTTGGCTGACAGCTATGCATATTGTATTCATGAGCCCAAATATTTAAACAAAGTTAACGAGGATAAAACTGCTTAAATTGCCATTAAAGTGTAAGAACACCTTCAGCATCAACACAAGTGTCTTCAGTGAGGTTCTACACTAGCAATTCATATTGCTGTTCTAATGGCTATTGTATTGGTGCTAACAACCTCTGTTTTAATGTACTGCTCTGGTTTCCGAGGAGAAGGAGGGTACATTGCCAGACTGCACAGTCTTCATTCCTGCTAACCCTTGGTATGTGCCTGCAGTTTAGACAGGCAGGGGCAGTTGTAATAGGGCATCATACCACAGCACCCATTGTCCATCTTAATGTTTTAATGTAGTGCCATCCACACAGCCCAAACGTAGGTATCTGGAAGCATGGCAGCCATTTTGTCCAGCAGCCAGAGTTGTAAATGTGAGAGACAGTCTGTTGTTCCTGTCACACCCATAGGGACACCAGAAGTGCCAGGGTCTGGTACCCCACTTGCCCTGCCCAAAGGGCAAGCCTGTAAATTACTAAGAACGAAAAGGGTACTAATTATTTTTTTGGCATCCTTATTTTGCACTTCATTATTTCATGAGTCCTTTCATATTCTGTACTTGGTGAGTGAAACCATTGTCTTTCTTACTATATTTATTGATATTATTTACACGGGCTAAACTAAAAAAGACAGCTAAAAACAATCAGTGCGCACCAGATTGGAGAGTAATTTATGTATGAATCTGTTCTTTTACCACCTTTTTAATATGCTACATTTTTATATACACAAATGGTGCAAACAAAATAGTGGGCTTTTATTTTTTTTTATTTTTTTTTATGCTCTACTTACTTCTACTTACTTCTCACGTTAGGTAACCATTCAAATATGGTGCCAAATAGGAGACCTGCCATTGAATAAATACAAAGGTCTCCTGTTCTTCTGCGATACACCAAATTATGCACACGTAAATCACGTATCATCGCCTGATGAGAGTAAACAATGAAACTTGGAGACCTATTGCTTTTTCAGTTTAATAAAGCTCTTTCTTAGTAAAGGTCTTTTTCTTCTCAACAACTTAATAAACTTAATAAAGATGTTCAAGAGCAGCCGAACGGCGGGAGGAGGGGGGTGGGGGGAGCACTTCAACTCTGTATATCCATAAACAATTTCCTGTGCACTCAAATTAGTGACTTTATTGAAGCAAAGTTTCAGCTCTGCTACTGTATCATATGAATAAGTAAATTATTTTTATTTTATGAGAGGGGTGTTTTTGTATTCAGTGCTGCCCTAGGAATAGTCATTTCCTTTTAGGCCACCGGATGTGGTGCAATAAGAAACATCTATATAGGACTTTCATTCCGTCCTTTTCTGGGTTTTTTTTGGATTGCACATACTGGTTTGAGTACAGGGCTACACTAAATGATGTTAAGTATCCTGTTAGTGAGTCAAGCTGTTTTATTAAAATTTTTATTATTATCAATGTGATTAGGCATCCGATTTGAAGCTGTTTCTCTCTCCTCTCAGAGCCTGACACTGCCTTGTATTAAATATTGAAAGTAAATTATTATTTTAATTGTATGTTATTGCCTGCCCTATAACTATGTATGGTATAACTTGTTTTGTTTGCTTGATAAAGGCTCAATAGCAGAGTTGAAACATTTCTCCCCTATTTAACTTGGAGTGCACAATAATCTGTTTGTTGTTTGGTGTTTAGTGGTGTTTAGTGAATAAACCTGTGTATACACCACATGGATTGTGTAAAGACTGTAATAGTGGAAGGAAGTAATATAGCTTCTTGGTGTTACTGTGCTTACTGTATGTGAGCATTATGACTACAAAACCATAATTTATATAGTATAAGGAAGACAATATAATATGTAAAACTAGCATTATTACTCAATACTTTGCTAAAAAGATGAATTATTAGATAAAACAAAATTGGATACATCTAGATATTTATACATGACATGCTATGCTAAAAAGTATTTAGCAACATCAAAATTTAGTAGTTAAAGGGTCAATACTGTGAATATTCAAGAAAGTTGAAAATATTATACAGATTTAACTGGAAACCTTGAAAGCCATTGATGTAAAATTGGATTGTATTGTTATTTTAATACGTTATAACAGGGTGATTAACCATGGAAGTAAAAGCACTGCTTCCGTAATCAAACATATTTCTTTTACTTCTATGTGTGGGCTACAGCAACTACCTTGTCAAATGAGAGGGTGATTCACTTACGAGAACTGAACTCGTACATAATATTTATTGTTGACACAGTCACACTTAGTAGTGCTTAATGACATTTATTGCTAAACAAAAAGAAAAAAAAATATGTTTTCATACATAATACTCATATATAATGCTTTTCCACTTTTTGTTACTTTTGGGGTTTTTTTCCCCTGCTTTCTTATAAAATATTTTTTTGCTTATAAATTTTACATAAATGATATAGTTTTTACATTTTATATTTTTTATCCAAAAATATAAAATCATTTCAAAAACGTATCCAAAAATAATACATCAAGGCCTTTAATAGTGTACCTTATTGATCTTGAAGGGATGAAAGGTGGATCTCCTTCAGCCAGGAATAGACCCTGAAACCTAGAGGTTTGAGCAGGCTCTGTGTTTGTTTCAAACAAATCATTTTTATATTCATTTGCTTAGATAAAGTGCCACAGATACTACAATTTGCATATTGTCAAATATCCCATTAAAATGTGCTTGGACCAGTTAAAATGTTTGGTACCATTTTATTGATGTTGTTAAATAAGTACTTTTAAAACAATGTTTCCACACTTATGTATTAATTTGCAAGTTGAGTAAATGTTTTTGTACCAAGTCTGGCCACATAAATAATAGTCATCTGCATTCAAAGTGAAATTGCAGAATTGTGGTATTTGTTTATTACAGAATAGTATGGTTTAGACAAGAGAATACTCTTGGATCTATGTATTAAGGTCTGAATGGACCCAAGCCATATGAGGCAAAGTCATGTGGTTACGGTCAAGCTGGCTGAAATTTGGACACAATTCTGAATGCAGCCAGACAGGTGAAATCCAGACATAGATGCTTAAAATGTGGGGTTTGACGAAAGGAGCAAATAAAGCCAGCAGGCATATTGTTAAGCAATTGCTAACCGGTCACCATATTAATAAGTAAAAAAAGAATAAAAAATAAAAAAAACACATTATTATTATTTTATTATTTATAAAGCGCCATCAGATCCCATAGCGCTGTACAATGGGTGGACTAACAGACATGTAATTGTAACCAGACAACTGGATGTACAGGAACAGAGAGGTGGATGGCCCTGCTCAATGAGCTTACATGCTAGAGGGAGTGGGGTATAGTGACACAAAAAGTAAAAGTAGGGGTACAAAGTAGGTTGCTAGAAAAGAATTCATTGAGGGCTTAGTAGGTAATATTTGACAGTTGCAGGAGAGGAGTCATGGGGGGTGGGGGATAAAAACCTGCTTACAGTTTAATTGATATGCTTTCTTGAAGAAGTGAGTTTTCAATGATTTTTTGAATGAGTGGAGACTGGGTGAAAGTCTTACGGAGAAGGGAAGGGAGTTCCACAGAAGAGGTGAGCGTTAGAGGGGGGAGTACAGACAGAGGATAGATGTAGGTCTTTGGCAGAGCATAGAGGCCTCGACGGGACAAACTTGTGTATTAGGGAGGATAGGTAGGTTGGAGCAGCATTATGCAAATTATTATAAAAAATAAAGCCAATGAGGCTTAATATAACCCTAATGTTACTCCTAACACCTAACACTCCACCTATGTTATTTCATGATAATGTGGGAAAATTTTATTTCCTAGCTCGATTCCCTGCATAGAGAATATTACTGATATTTTCTAAATAGCTGCTAGCGTCTAGGTGTGAGACTACAATGTATCATTCATGATGTCTGGTGAAATATAATTTTAATATGTTATACCAATGCTATTGCATCCTGATATTAATATGTTAACATGTTACTCATCTTTATCACAGAAGACTGACTGCAGAAGAAGCCAGGAGATGGGCACGATCATTTGACCTGCTTTTATCTCATAAATGTAAGTTGATATTGGGAACACACTTTAAAACATAATTTTCATATTTCCTTTTTTCAACTTGTTTTTGTTTTCTATCATGTTAACAAACATAAGCTCCATTAGTGTATATGGTTTTGTCAATGGCCAAACAAAGTGTATACAAAATCAACAAAACTGTGTCAGCTGAATGATTATCAGACATTTTGAACCATTCATATTACAATAAAAATTGCCACACTTTAAGCAAATTACTTTAAATTTCATTTAAAAAAACCAAGGAAAAGGGAAAAAATCCATATTGATTTAATCTTTAAAGTTTGCCCAAGGAGATAGGAATTTTGGGAAATGTATTTCCATTAAATGCCCTGACTGTGCCTATCTAAAAGTCAAGTGTGCTGTCAAAGTGAAATTATACTAATCTAAAAATATACTTTAGCAAAAGAGAAAATATAAAGATAAGAGAAAATATAAAGATAACAAACAATATATAAAAAATCAATAAGAATTTTCAGTTTGCTCCATTCTCAAATGTAACAAGTCTGCTTTAACACTGTAGTCAGGGCTAGACTAAGGACAGGTGAGGCTATTATTAAATAGTAATATTAAACACTGTAGGTACTATAGCCAATTCAACGTATTGAAGTGGATATGGCTTATCACTGACCCGTCTGACCGTTATCTCTGGTATGAGGCAGAGCATAACTCCCCCTGCTCCATTTCAACATTAGGGCCAGGCTGCATCTTTCAAGAACTGAGCACATTTGCTAAATTGTGAGTAAAGAGTTTGACATTAGTGCAGGATCCAATGTCCAGTCCAGACACAAGTTGTTATAGTGCCTACAATGTCTCTTTAAGTTTATTTAGATATTAGTGTTTGTCACGAACATGGGCTATTGGCCCAGTCTAGACAGTGGGGAGAGTGTGGAAGTGAAAAGGTTAATGACACTAGTTCCCTGGTTACCTGTTGCTAGTCCCATCAACCACTAAATTAACCCCTGCACCTTCTACACTAACACTCTAGTACACACTTTACTGCCACCACCAGGACTTTATATCCGGGTGTCTTAGGTTACCCCCACACATTATAATTATAGTTTCACAACCTTACTTTACTGATCAGACCTATATAGTTATCCCTTTTGGTAATGTGTTTACCTGAGCTTTCCTCGGAAGAGTGAGCTCGTAGAGAACAAAGACACCAGCTGATTAAGTACACATTTAATCTGACAAAAAGGATTCACAGTGCTGTGTACAAAAATACTGAAATAAATTACATACAGAAACACCGATAACAAATTCAATGTAGTCCATAAAATAGGAGAAAACACAAGAAATCCTTACATATATTTACCCCTTATATGTAATTATTGTGGAAGATTCAGATGTTAAAGGTCTCCAAGTAGTTGTTGAAAAAAGAAATCTCCCCCTGGATAGTCCAACATCCTCAATATATAACTTAAACTCGTTTTTTCTAAGTGGCCAGACCCCTGGGTGGATCAGAGGGGTTTGGCCTGGCAGTTTATTGGCCACTCCATATTTTCTTAAATGATGTTGTCCTTTGAAGAACCCCAAGTCAGAGGATATGCACCAATACCTTTCACGATGCCCTATGTCCAGCTCTGGTAATGGTTATCTAGTAGTTTTATGGCTTAGGCCTGGTGTAAGATCAAAGCCTCCAATAAATGTTACCCCAACATTTACAAAAATATATTATTATAACATATATCAAATGCCAACTCATGTTTTGGCATGACAGTGTTAAGGACCTTCGCACCCTTTCTTGGTCCAGTTTTAACTGCAGCTCAAACCAAGTGGCGCTTCCAGTATCTTGAGACCTTGGTACAGCTGTCCTTTTAACGATATGTGAATAGACACTCCTTCGAAAATTCAAACTTACATAAATTACCTTACTTCCACAGACTCTAAATTTAGCGGAGAACCACAAGAATCACTATTTCAAGTTAAATTTAATTGTGCCTAGTGACTAACTATTGATATCAAAAAGTGTCATTGTGGATGCTATAATTTTATTTATCCTTCATTGTTGAAACATTTCTGCCCCTAAACTGTTCTGTACTATGGCTAGTTGAAGACTGTGGGAGCCTCAGGACACAATAAACCCCAAAGGCTGCCTAGCCATGTGAGATGTTTTTGAGTGAGTCAAACTGACTCACTGGGCTGTGATTCATAGTTCTCCCAGAGCAGTGATTAGCGCAGTGTTCCCCAGGTAAAAACTCAAAGTTCTGATGGAAATGTAAGATGATTGTCCCTTTCTCCTCTGATCTACCAACATGATTGCATGTCACAGGGAGACATTTCTGTATATTGTCCACATTACTTTGACTTTCACCGAGAAATGTGTCACGCTTTCTCTACCACTCTAACAAAATCAAGTTTTTGGATATGTTAATGTGAGTCCCAATTTACAGATGTGTCAACTCATGTTACATATATAACATTGTAAATAATGCATTGTTATTGGTGTTTTGATTTAAACACGTTGAAGATGCAGTCTTTTTTACAACCGAAAAATATGCAAAAAACATAATCTCTCCAAATGCAAAATTCAGCACTTAATTAGAAGAGACTTCCTGCAGGTCCGTGACTGGAAGTAACTTTTCTTTCACACTGGAAAACTTGGCTGATGACTTGACATTTTGGATTGTGACAACATGAATTGAGTCATTAGCAAATTTCACTTATTGGATTCCTTCCATTGTATCCATGGTCTGCATTCTCATTCTCTGAGAAAGCTTTGTTTTTTTCCAAGGTAACAGATGATGCTGTCTGGTAGATGATGGGTTTGTACTGGAAACTTAAATAATAAAAAAAATGTAACTATTGTTTCTTCATTGAGAACAATTGGTCATACTTGATATAAAAATTGTCTTTTGGACATATTTAAAAATATACAATATTCCACAGATGGTCGGTCTGCATTTCGATCCTTTCTGCAGACAGAATTCAGTGAGGAGAACCTGGAGTTCTGGGTGGCTTGCGAAGACTACAGGAAGACCCGTTCTGTCAACAAACTGCCTGCCAAAGCTCGCCGAATTTTCCAGGAATACATTGATGTTCAGGCTCCCAGAGAAGTAAGATGATATGATATTCTCTCTTTAAGGCGATTTTGAGAGATCAAGCTAGGCATCACCAGTGTGACAGCATGTTTATCAATGACAAAACTTTAAACACAGGGTATAATCTGTTTCTGTAAGAAAGGGAGATAAGCAGGAGTGTTTACTAATGATATACATTTGTTAAAATTAAATCTAGATTCAATCAGTTCTACACACATTGAGGAATAATTATCTTCCCATACTTATATGTCGCTTTTTAAAGAGGTCTCAACTCTTGGACTTGCCAAGTCAGCAGCTGGTATGACGATGTAACCATTACCCAACTCATTAGTTCTCATTCTATCAACCTCGGAAGAAAGGAATAAAGACTCAGATGAACTGGTCAGGGATAGGGCCTGCAACTTTGATGTTTTGTCCTGTCCTGTAGGTTGTGCACTAATTGACTGACATATTTCACCTATTATAAGGTATTTTCACTTACAAACAGTATGATAACATGTTTATATTACAAATATTATTTATTACTCTAGACTTCATTAAAATGCAATTGTACATAGACAGTGCCATTCTAAAAATATCAGGCCGGATTATTTAAACTATAAAAACAAATCCTTTATATTTTAAAATATATCAATTAAGTGATAGATATTTCATTCATATTTATATAGTAATATATTTGCTTGCAAATGTGAAATGCTCTTAATTTGCCACAATTTTTACTATCCACAGATTTCACTGTAAACAATAGGCTTTCAGATGTTTTAGTAGTCACAGATATCTGTGCCATCATAGAATGTAAATTAGCCACGCGACCACTGGGAATGTCTTCGAAAGAAAGATGATGAAAATTTTCTGTGCAATCTTTGAATACACATATGAAGACTGATTACTATTACTTATACAGTGCCAACATATTTTGCTGCACTGTACAATAGGCAAAATAAACAAACATAATCCTTCTAACAAAGTACAACCCACATTTGGAACAATAGGAGAGAAGGGTCCTTCCCAAATGAGCTTACAATCTAAAAGACCACTTGAGATAATGGCAAAATAGCATTTTCATGAGTAGATGTTCTTGGATAAATTAAAAAAAAACTTAACAAAATATTTTTTCAAAAAAGATTTTTCATTTCAGAAACCAAAAATACTATATTTTTATGACAAGCGGTTGGTTTCACATTGTAAAAGTTGTAGCGAAAGGTACAATACTGTGTTCACTGTATAATGAACTATTATTTATGAAAGTGCATGTTCTGAAGCTGCCATTATAATTTTCAAGTAGGACTTTAAGCAGTAGTCATAACAAACTAACATAGATAGACTACTTGCTGCAGTTTCAGTCACCACAAATCACTCAATACAAACCTTTCTCCCTGGCAGTCTACTAGTTACATACTCTACATTACAACCTTTACTCTCGTAGTTGGTTACTTAAGTTCTGTGAGGTGGCACTGTTTGTTTTTTGCTCATAGATAAAAGAAAAAATATTAACTGCAAAGTTTTAAATAAATATAACAGTGTCTGCTTTTTTCAATGAAATTTACATGTAACATATATTTATCTCTTGAGGCACTAAAACACAGAAAAAAAATATTCAAGTGTCAGGAGCACAAACATGTATTCCTGACCCTGTAGGGTTAAAACCACCATCTAGCCACCATGTCCCCCTCATGCCTCCTTAAATATAGTAAAATCTTACTTGTATTCAAGCCTGAAGCTGCAGGCGTTGTCCCTGTTTCCCTTTGACCTGCCCACTGCCTGCTGACATCAAAATAACAAACAAATAACATGTAACACCATATTTTGTTCTGGTGGCTAGAGTGTCCCTTTCAGATGGGTACCATAACTAGGAGTCCTTCATGTAGCAGCCAAAGTTCTTCGATAAAAATAATAAATTTTTTGCAAAATAGAATCCAATATCCTTATCAGAAGATGCTCCTTTTATGAATCCACCAACACTTGTTTCCACAAATTGTAACAATATCAATTGCTAAATTGTGTGTCTTTCATGGACAACCGCTGGTCAGTTTCACTAAACAGTGAACTATCAAACAAGCAAAACTTGTCATTCCAAAAAGCCCAGTGATTCTCCACTGTCTACAGCATCACAGGCGAATTGAGTTATTCTGGGCAAATTACAATAAATAAATAAGTATATGAAAAATATAATTATAAAGTGTTACCAAGAAAACCGAAACGCTTCTCCCAATTCAAAGTGCAATGTGATCATAAATGAAAAAGGTGTCTCTGGCACAAAACTTAGTGCAAATGCACAAATAGTGTTATTGGCACCTGAAAAGTACAAGTGCGATAAATAATAATAAATGTCGACAAACACTCACTAGTTTAGGTGTGTTTTCCCATATGAATATTTAAAGATGTTTTAATGCCTCAGGAGTTAAATAAATAGATTTTATTAAAAAAGTTGACAGCAGTAATTTTTTCCCCTGAATTTCGATGTAAATATTTCTTAATTTTTTTGTGATGTTCCATGGAAGGAAATAACAGACTAGATTTTCCGGTCACCCAGTGTCCCAAATAAGCATCGGGTGACAGACATAAGTGACTCGGAAACTGAGAAAGGGAGTTCCCGGTGAATCTGCCATGGCCCCCTTCCGACACTCAAACCTACCCCCATATGTCCACACTCTCAGGGGATTACCGTGACACCCACACATTCCAAACACTAACTCTGGAACCCTGTGTTTCCAGCCTAGGATAGTTCCCTTTACATATACAAATATAATATAAAACAAATGTGATAACTACCTGAAGATTTTTATCTCCAGAAAATCAGTCTGAAAGATTCTGCCAGAACATTAAAACTCGCAAAGTTTGAGTCAAAAGTGGCAAGTTAGCAAAAAAACTAAATAGGCTAATTTCCCAGTCCAGCTATTTTGTCCTAAATGTAACATAAATTGTAAAGCGCTACGGAATCTGTTGGCGCTATATAAATGGCAATAATAATAATAATAGTAAATGTAAAATACTAAAATAACTAACTCATAAAACAACTATTAAAATGTTAGCCAATATTCTCTTTGTAGTACACATAATGTTTTTAAGTTGATTAGAGACATGAAATGGCATTTGCTATTGTATGCTGTTAAATCTCCTACGCACCATCAGAGTAGGAATTTTCGAAACTATGGAAGATAAATATTTGCAAGGCTTTGCGATGTACGCTCCACCATAAACATGACCACCTACATGGAGCAGCTCCCCCCCTCCCGAATTACCTGTATTTTGCCATGGGGGGGGATCTTGGTATCTTTGCATGATGACTATTACCACCAAGATGTGCCTGTTGGAATAATTATTTCTATATTAATGCGAAGGTACTACATATGGTGCTTTCTTAGTACACTCAATAGTTCTGGACTGGCTAATGTCAATTTTGTGCATATTCCTATGCACAGAGTTGCATTATTTGGCTAAGATGCTCTCAAACAATGAATGGCTAGCAGGATCGACTTCCAGCTTCTGTATAAGAAGCCAGGTGTAGTCACTACCCTTGAGGTCTCCATTCTCTTGATAGCCAGTTGTTAGAAATCTGCCAAGGACCCAGAGATGTCTATATGTTCACCTAAATCCATTAAGATGCTCATCCTTGGGGAAGATGTCCCACATGCACAATTTGAAATGTTATAATTGGTCTATCAGTTGCAGCCTGTTGGAAAATGTAGCTAATATAAAAATGTTTCCTACATTTTCTGTGAATTTTAAATGAATGTACCTGATGGTAAATTTAACAATTCTCATCTACCATGTCCTCCTTTTTTAAGGTGAATATTGATTTTCCAACACGTGAAATTACACGAAAAAACCTGCAACATCCAACTTTGTCTTGTTTTGACCTTGCCCAGTTGCGGGTACACAGTCTAATGGAGAGGGATTCCTACCCAAGGTTTCTTCGATCACAAATTTACAATGACCTCCTCAGCCACACTCAGAAGAGTCCATGCTAGTACCTCATAGCGCCACTCTAGCAATAAGAAAGAAGTCGCTAGAAAAAGACACTCAAGCTTCATGCTTGCCCAAGGACTTTCTTGCACTATGGTCAAAACAAGAGATGACCAGGATACCATTGCTTGAGACAATAACAGCATCCCCACTGCCTTCTTGATGCATTCCATAATTCTATGGCTTCTCTCATGTTATGTATTGACTATTCATTAAAAAGTACTGCCCTGATGGAAGTGGCATAGAGGCAAGAGTGAATGATCCAGAAAGAATCATAGAGGCACAAGGGAAGACTGAAAAGGACATAGAAAGGCAAACATTATTTTCCTATTTATTTTCTTAAAATAAATCCGGTAAAGAGAGTCTGGATTCCTAGAACAAACTGTGGGTTGTATCTAGGCAATCCTAGTTTCTTTCTGTTCACCATGGCAATATGTACACATTTGAGTGATTGTATGATATAGACTGATTTGCGAGGTTTTTTTTTGTTTTTTTTAGAATATTGTAAAATATGGAAAGTTCATGCATGGTTGGTCCAAGATTAATAGGATTGGACTTTTGAACACAGGGTGACACAGTAGTGATTACAAAGTTGAATGTTGGCGGTGAACTTAAACAAAGTACATTTCATAAGCTTGATTCCAATGGGCATGGCACAGGAGAGAAGGCGAATATAGTGAATTGGTTAAATAATGGAGAGTGTTTGCCATCACTAGTGACCACTTCTGTGAATCATCAGCCCAGTGGCTACTATGCACCTTGAGAAGTAAATGCAAAGTTTCAGTAAATATGTGTCAACTATATTCAATCTTCATTAATCATTTGTTACCAAGTATCATGTGAGTTATAAAGGGTTTGACTGGGAATGCTAATACCCCTGTGTTGCCAAACATTTCTCTTTTTAGTGTCAAGTAACGGATACTGCTATTGCTCAGGTCAAAAGGCAGTGATCAATAGGTCATGATAGATAATAGTTAATCCAGTGGAATCCATTAGTAGTAAGTTTGCCCACTGCCAATCAAAAATACACTGCTGTCAGAATAGAGCACAAAAGACCACGCTGCCACGTAAGATTGAGTCTAGTATATTATAATACCAGAGAAATATTAAGACTATAGCAGTCCTGGGAATCCGTTAGTGGCTCGATGCAGTTTAATTTATTCAATATCAATCTTTCAGTTTATTTGCAAACTTTTCATTAGGACATTTTTAGATTCAAAATATTAATTTGAAATTTGATTATTGAATAAAATAAATTGTTTTCAAGCCGTTCCAGAAGTGCCATTCTTTCGGGTCCTGATTTCCTGCCAATAGGAGCACTGGGCATAGATTTTTTTTTAACACTCAATTATAAGATTTAAGGGTGTTATATTTAAATAAACCAGATATCAGTGCACAATTTAGCAGTTTACTTGAAAACAGATTGTTGTAGTACATATCTAGAACATGGATGTATCAATTTCTACAGTCGCAAAGTTTCCGAAGAATGCTGTGCCCTTTTGTTTAGGATAATTTATTTTCAAAAGAATGTTGTGGCCTTATATACAGGGTAGAGTAGTTTCAGGAGAATGCTGTGTCTTTATGATATGATGCAGTTTTAGGTGATTGATGTGCGCACTTTATACAGGATAGTGCAGGATATTGCAGACCCAGAATAATGTAGAAAAGGACGTGCAGGACCAGAAGAGTGATGCGTCCTAACAAAAGGAGTGATGAAGGACCAGACAAGTGTCAATACCGTATATACTCGTGTATAAGTCGATCTCATGTATAAGTCGAGTGCAGTTTTGTGACAAACAATTGTGAAATATGCTATGCCTCGTGGATAAGTCAGCTATGAAATTCTGTGATTTTTATAATTATATACACACACACTCATACAAACACACACTCTGCATTATATACACACACACACACACTCATACAAACACACACTCTGCATTATATACACACACTGTGTGTATATAATGCAGAGTGTGTATATAATGCAGAGTGTGTGTTTGTGTAGTGTGTGTGAACTGGGTGGGGGGAGGGCATTTTTATTATTTTAATTTTTTTTTATTTTAATATTATTATTTTTTTATTTTAATTTTTTTTTGTCCCCCCTCCCTGCTTGTTAACTGGTCAGGGAGGGGGGCTATCTTAATCCCTGGTGGTCCAGTGGCATGGGCTGTGAAGTGGGGGGGCCAGCAGGAAGCATTTACTTACCTTTCCTGCAGCTCCTGTCAGCTCCTGTCAGCTCCTGTCAGCTCCCTTCTCCTCCGTTCCGGTCAGCTCCACTGTAAGTCTCGCGGTCTGGTTGCCGCGCGGATCGTTGCCATGGCTCTGACGGCCGCGGCTCTCTAAGTTGCCATAATACAGACAGTGACTCGAGTATAAGTCGAGTGGGAGTTTTTAAGCACAAAAAATGTGCTGAAAAACTAGACTTATACTCGAGTATATACTGTATATACAGTGCATTTCCTGGGATAAGAGAGAGTGCCCTTACTTGTAGGACAATACAGAAGAATGGAATTTCTATTTCCAATAAACTCTGGAGTAAGACCAGAAAAAGTCCTTATTTATTTATTCTGGGTAGAGCTGGGTTTGGAGGGAAAAGTACAGATATTCCTATGTTTTATTGGAAGTGCATGACTTGAGGAAACTTTAAGTCAAATGCCACTAAATAGCCTGGAAACGTGAACATATTTTATTTTCTGGGTCCTTTTTATTTTCTATTTTCTTGGTATAGCTATTTCTGAGGAATTGAAAGCGGTCACTTATAGCTTAGCATTATGTCACCTAAAACATGTACTTTCTCAGTCTGCGCTCCTAAAATGGATGTAAAGCTAAAGGGAAACTGGCAACTCTACAGTGAAACTTTTTATTAAATGGCCACTGAAATAAAAGAAAAAAAGAATTATTTTAAAACATATTTTTGTTATAAAGGAAAAAAAGAACAATCGGATTTATTTACTAAAGTGTAGAATGTGACACCTTTAAAACCAAATAGTTAACTTATATGACTTAATGTTTGTGCTTGCTTTGAGTGCACAAATACAGCTCAACAGAAATTTTCTTTGTAAAAGAAATTGCAATATTTAGTCAAAGTAAGCTCGTTGTAATTGAATGAAATTTTGAAGTTGTGTTTTTAATTCACGCTTTAGGAAATAAACCTTGTTATTTCAGCTTAGACTCTAACAATAATGGAAAGTGCAATAATTGCAAGGTAAAAGAATCGTATAAAGTGCATGACAATGTTAAATAGTGGTGCTTTAAAAAACTTAAGATGTGATCTAAACATTGTGATAGTTAATTTACTAGTAAATGTGTAGCTATTAAGAGTCCTTTCTGGCTTCTATCTCTGTCTGCAAAATGTCCAATATACGAACCTGTACAATCCCTTAATCCAAAAATTGCAATCCCAGAATGCTTTGTGTGAACAATGTTTTTTTTTTTTTTATTGCGACAAGAGCATTATTGGAATGGTGTGTGTACAACCCGTAAAATTGACCGATATTTGAAACTTAGGTAAGAGTAGAATGTGGTGTTCTGTTCAGGATTGTAATATATAGCATTCCTACTGCAAGTAAGTACAAACCCCCTGAGCATTTCACTAGGTAGGTACGTAAGACATACAGTTCATGGATGGGCTAACTGGAAACTGTCAATCCCTGCTCTCTGCACATTAGTTAGATTGGAGCAAAGAGATTGAAACTCGCTAAGCTATGGATTATTTGAACTGTAGAATTAAAGAGATTATGTAACTAGGGTTTGGCAGGATTTATTTAGAACTGTAGTAATGAATTATAAAAGGTGCGCATTCTAACAAAAAGAATGTTCGTCACTGTGCAGTCAACGCTTAAAGAACAACTGTCACATCCAAACTATTTTAATATAATAATCCTTTCATTAAGTTTTGAAAGGAAATTATTTTTTTATTAAATGAAGTATATGTAAAAAATGAGAAAAACTCTTGCCTATTATATGACAGGATCCTTCAACCATATACATGCACCTTGAGTCATACACTGTTGAAAACCGACAATTCCCTGCTTCACTAACTGGACAGGATCAACAGAGAGATTAAATGTTGGTTTTCAAACACTGTCAGACCAAAGGGGCGTTTATATAGCTGAAGAATCCTGTCATATACTAAAGGTATGGATGTGTATCATTGAATAAAAAAAATATATATTTCCTTTGAGAACTTGATGAAAAAGATTATTAGATTAAAAAATAGTTGAGGTGACAGCTGTCTTTTAATGCAACAGTCAGAATTCTGTAACATTTCTCTCAGTTTTGCTGCACATGAGATGTCAGAATAAATTCCCTACATCTTTGCTTAACTGTATAAAAAAATAACTGCATACGTGAAGAACAAAAAATTACAAAGTCCAGCAGGAATTCATTACTGTGAAACCTAGTTAGAAGAAAGGAATGGGAGTTAATAATGTTCTTTTGAGAGAAAAAAATGAAATTTACTTTCAATGGGGGCATTTTACTAATAGATTAGACTTTCATGTTTACACAGATTTTAGAAATATTACAAATGAATGAGGGGTATAAATTCTTTATTTAGAAATAGTAAACATTTTCAAGCCTTCGGGGTCTTAATTAATTTATTCAACTCAACACCTTGCACCATAAATTAGTTTCAAGTTTCTACTATCTTTATCTTACTCCATGGAAATACTGAACGTTTCTTCTGCTTAAAGGAACAATCTACCTAAAATAAATAAATTAAATGTGTCCTTTTTCAGTTTCTAGGTTTCCATATTTATTTATTTATTTTATTTCTTAAATAAAATCGCCATTAAATTTACCTTTATTTTCGAGCCAGAACAGTCTCCTCACTGCTGCCGATCCATCTCTTTTGAAGTCATCCACTCTGATGACTTTTGTCCAGCCTTTCAATTGTCATAGAGAAGCATTGAAGACACGTGGTGGATGCGCCAAAATCTCAGTGATCTCAGTGATTCTTGCAGAAAAGCTTCTCTATAAGAAACCCAAAGAATGTAAGGAGTTAGCGGCTCTAGTGGCCATCGATGTGACAGCCACAAAAGGAATGCTTTTGGCCAAATGTAAACATTGATGTTTTTTAGATTGCATTGTATGTGCTGGGAGGGTTGACTTCTAATGCAAGCCTCTGTATCTTGTTTGAAAGTTGTGTTTTCTGCATTGTTGTTCAGTGGTTCAACATGCCTAAATTCTCAAAAAATTCTGAGGAATGTTCCCAGGCTGTTGTTTTTTGTTTTTTAGCAGCATAAATGGGACATTTTAGTTTTTGTCGTATTTTACTCATCTGAATTGTTTTCGCTTTAGTCGACTAAATTTAAACAATTTTTGTCAACTAAAATTTGACTTAAATTGTTAGTCGACAAAATTAACACTGTATCACTCTAAATCAAATTCATAAATACATGTAGTGGAGTCAATGCAAGCTATAAACATTAATCTCTTAAAGACGAACATTGTGTCATCATAGAAATCTCTTATTTAAGCATCCTATTCAAAAAACTGAATGAACCACTTAATTAACAACTGCAGGACTGTAACACAGCTGTCAAAGCTTAATAATCAGGACAATCCACAGGACAATCGATGCTGACAGAAAACCTTCAGGGACATGACTGTGATGAAAGCAAAGTGTAACATTTGACCATTAACATTTTCAACACACTGTACTAATAAGATCACAAACATTTAATAAGGGTAAATAACGTTCTCCACGGGAGTTGTGTCCAGAAGAGCCTCCTGTTAAGTACAAAGTAAAACTCGACTCCAGTTTAATTATATATCACCCAGGTCTTCCAGAGGATGCAAAAAGTGAGCATATAGGAAGATACACATGTATACTATACTGCAGTGCTGCTAACCGAGGACTATTGTGAAAGGTGTTACCTTTGTTTAAGGGCAGAAGAATCATGGCTAAAATGTTCCCTTGTGTATTTGTGAAATGTGTGGATGTGTTCGTAGCTTGTGACACTTGACATTGCATTCTCTTCTTTGCTTACTCAGATGTAGTGCTCAGAACTGCCAATGCATACAGAAAGTCACAATCCTTTGAATGTATTGCTGTCTCCAGTTGTTTCCCTTCTTTGTGCGCTGATACATCATAAACAAAACCATATTAATCAACCTGACACCCCGTGCAATTATTATCGGTGTCAATCCAACCTGTGCCGGTTGTTTGAGTTTGGTATAATCTGCCTTAGTATAGTAGAATTCCATTAGATAACAAATTCTTAAATATGGACCACATATTCCCTCTCCTATCCACTCGTCACTCTTTATGCTGAATGTTCAGCTTTAATCTCGTGTTCCCGTTTCACTCTAAACTAGCCCAAATAGTTACACACAAATATCGTTTTTACTCTTTGCCTTCCCTCCATTTGTGAGAAACTTAAATTGTACAGATACTGTCCTTGTACATTCTTGTATTGATGTCTGTTGTTTTTCTTAATCTGGTGAGTGGTGTAAACACAATGCATTTCAATCGTTCTTAAATGTATATTTTACAGCCACTTGCCACACTTGCCACAGAGTGACATATGAACCAGTGAAAAGATATGTAGTTCTATTGTCAATGTCTTCCAATTGATCATAATGGTTCTTGCTTCCCAATGCATATCCCAAGCCCACATTCACGAAATAATTATATAATAACATTATATTTTTGCATACCTAGTGGGCCTCTTTTTATTTTTATGCATATTTTAGCATGTCAATAACGATCACTCTGTATACATGTCCTCTGTCCTATGTGTTCACTATATAGAATACACTATTCGCACTATATAAATAAAGATATATATATATGTACATATAAAAAGTGCACGTGTTTCTTTGGTATGTATGAACTTGTGTTATTTGGAATATAGTATGTTAGCGAACTATAAAAGATAATTTAATTCTTTATTCTATTCCACTACAGTTCTTGCACTATCTCTCTATGACTAACTGCTTTGTCTCTTTCTTTAGACGGAACAGGAATTTAAATAATTGAGAAGGGGAATAATGGTGACGATGAAGGGAAAAGGCTATGGAACCAGGGCCAGGTTATAGTGTATATCTCACTCTATTACAAAACAAATGACACTAGAAGTCCCTGTGTGGGTGAGGGCAGAAATGAGCAAAAAGATAGACCTAAGGTTGTTGCAGAGCCACAAATCCACTGATACTTTACCGAGCCAAACTCTATTGACCATTCCTGTCCTAGGGTATTCTTTTACATTGCAATTACACAAGATGGAGCAATTTGGGATTTTGGAATTAGGACTAGCCCGCCGTATGTCCACTGCAAACAAACTATATTCTGGGTACCATTCTTCATGGAAATTGCTTCTCTGCTTCCTAGACCAGCCAGTTGTTGTTTGTGAATTGTGTATTAATATATGTAGAGCAGTAAGGCATCTAGGACTCTGTCACTGTAATGAAGTGTAATAGTCGTGATTTAAAAAAAAAGAAAATATCCTGTAGACACAACGATAGGCCGAAAAAGCATTACACCTCTGCTGAAGGAGAAGTGTGTTCAACAAATGAATGTCCTGTTGGTGGGTCCTGAAGACACGTGTGAAAATCCTTCCTGTGGAGGACAGCAGTAATAAAGTACTAGGCTTCCCTTGGTACTAAAATAATGTTTTAATGAGTGTAGGGTACTGATTACTGTAATAAAGACAGTTTACTTTAATGAAATGTCACAGTGTAAAAGGAAACTATGCACTCAGAGTTTGTCTGACTAATAAAATGAGGCATAAAATGGCACTTGAGAGACTTGTAATATTGAAGTGCTACTTTGTATAATGCACTCAACAGCCTAATGGAAACAATATCCTACTAACAGAAATTAGGTCAGAATGAGAGGAAACAGTATTACCAGTCCATGGAATGGCCAGGCTAAACCCAAGATAATTGTAATGGTAACCGGAAACAAGCAAAGGTCAGCATAACAGAGATAGAGAGAATCGAGAAAACCAGCCAATGTCAGGGTAAAAGAAATACACAGAATCTATAGCCAGGTTAAATGCCAGAAAATCAGAGACACCATGAAAATGTGCTAATTGGGAACCACAATGGAAATCATATCAAGTCAAGATCTATGGGGATGAAAAGCTTTAAATATGATACTGTTTATTGCATATGTATTTGGTCCATGTCATCCCTGTGACCGAAAACGGTTAATGAGGTTCGCAGGAGTGACGTGGAGAACCCAGAATTGGAAGTGACGCGGCATGTCTATTTTCCATAACAAGACATGCGCCATGTGCAAGCAGCGTCTATCAGCAGTGTCCTACAGAAGAACATCAATACGCACATCAATCAAGTAAGTGGAGTGACACCTAACTGAAGGAGTAATGCATAAAAAAAGATATATTCAAAAAGGGTTCAAAATCCTTGCCTGGAAATTATAGACCTGTGAGCTTAACTTCTGTGGCTGGTAAAATATTTGAAAGTTTATTAAGGGATAATATTCAAGAATTCCTTGAGAAGAACATGGTTATCAGCAAAAATCAGCATGGTTTTATGAAGCACAGGTCATGTCAAACTAACTTGATTGCGCTCTACGAAGAAGTAAGTAGAAGTATAGATCAGGGTGTTGCCGTGGATGTGATCTATTTTGATTTTGCCAAGGCATT